GACCGCGCTCTGCGCGACAGCTCTGTGACCACTCTCCCCGCACTGAGCTGTCAAGTGTTCTGAGCTGCGCTCCCACCTGGACCGCCTTGCTGATAGTTCGATCGTAGGCTGCTAGCTGATGGCTCACCTGCGGCGATCGAACTCCGGTCTCCGACCGGTGGTCTTTATTGCACCGTGGAGGTCAGGTCACTTGGAGGAGAATTGGAATTGGCCAAATCCCTTGGCACAAAAACGGACATCCCCTTGAGAAAATACTGCGAAATACGTTGATTTTTCAAGGAGGTCTCTTGTTCTGAGCTTCTGCAATACTCTTGAGAAGGACAATCCACTTGCAAACACTCAGGAAGAACCTTTTGCGACAAATTAGAAGGCCGTGGGCCATGTAAAGTCGTTAAACTTGGCCCATTTGGATAACGCCCCCATCATATGTCAGCTTTTTGAACCGTTGATGTTGAATCCTCCAAGTGCCTTGTGTTTGCAGAGATGGCTCCCACAGAGCTGGGTCTAATTTCAAGACGCATGCATCTGTTGTGTTCAGAGCGGCCAGACCGGTCGGCTTAGCCAAGCTAAGCTTAGTCAAAGGATCCATGTAAGCAAATATGGCCTACTGTACATTTGATGGTTTTGGTGGTGAATGTTGGTCATATTTGTCTACATGGATCGTCTGGATTAGTCAAGTATATACCTACCTCTTTGCATGTCAACGCAAAGTCCATGCCGTCGCTCTCACATGCGTTCGTCATGACATTTGAATTACTCACTCTCTCTCTATATATATACTGCATATTACTTATAATATACATATATAATGTATCATATACATATAATGTAGACACTTGCATGCTTGTTGGTGTCAGTGTCTTCTTTTTTCTTTTTCTCTCTCTCTCTATATATAAATACTCTATATACTCTCCCTGGAACTAACATGGAAGTGGAAACCCCTGGTCTTCCAAGGGGCCATGCCATCTGCTTCCATGTTAGTTCCAGGAAGTGTACATAATATATAGTTTCCCATATATTATGTAGACAATTTTATACTCGTCTGATGGATGAGACAATGCTTTGCATTTTGCCAAACATGTACTCAGCTCGCTGAGACATCCAACAAACCTCGTGCCCGGCATGAAGTCCAGCTGTGGCTCCCAACCCGGTAGAATCCCTCCGTGAACATGAACATGGAAGCTGAACCAACGAATCAACGAAGCAATGCGAACGAGAACTACTGGAGAAGAACACCACCTGTGGATGTCTAAAGAGATGTCGAAAACACGCAGAAACAACTGCTTGTAACAAGCCTGCAGTTGTCGATCTCTCCCTAAACACAAATTGAAACACTTGTCAACAAGTTTTAAGGAAACAACTGTGTTGGAATACATTGAGCGCAGCGTCACATCAGAACCCCGGTCCTGTAGCTTCTCCTGCAAGAATGAGGTGTCATCCAGCGCGGAACAGTCCTGCGCACTGGAGGGAGGGTGCCGAGCATCTAGCTGAACAACTTGTATAAACATGTCACACAGCCAAAAGCTCACACTCAAACTCACAAGTTTACAGCCGCAAGTGTATTCTTCTTCGGCGTGCAGTTGGCTAAATAATTACTCACATGAACATCTCATGGGCCCTCAAGGTCTTTTGCTTTAGCATTTGACTGCAGCCAGGAGACTTCGGATATGCATAGCGGTTCAGCCAACGCGCTGGTCAACAGGAACACCTGCATCATTGGGGGCTTCCGGCTGCCATGTTCGGCCGTACCCTGAGGGACATGTTGCCACCAACGATACACGAGGAACAGTTCATCTAACGCCCCGTCTGAGACACGTGCTTCAGAAACGAGCCTCTTTGGAGGGTTCCCTGAAACACTTCACAGGCAAGATAGGCAGGAGATTTCTCCACGATCAAAATCAAGCATCGAGTTGGAGACAAGTAGCTAGTGCATCTTATCTTCTTAAAGGAGCCCAGAAGCCATTTTTAGGAACCCCTCTCTCTCTCTATAGCATTGTCACCTTGGTTCCTTTCAGTTGGGATCAAGTGACTGAATCTCTTAGTAATCGTAAAATTATGCAATACCTGGTTCTTCAAAGTGACCCTTTGATATCCTGGTTTGAGATCACTTAACTAGTATAAAAGATATCCTTAGCCGCATTAGCTATTCATGATTCTTCACTTCAGCCACTTAAATGACACGCCCTATTTATCATGATTTATCCCTATTTATACAAACACAACTACCAAAGGTTTGCAGGGCGTCTGATGTCGCCACCATCCTTTCCGGCCAGGAAACGAGACCAGCTCGCATGGCAGGAACCTCAGATCAATCATCTGGAGTCAGAAGATGTACCTGACCCCCTTGGCACTTGGCTGGTCTTTGTGGGGATCTTTGCCAACTGAACACACTCGTTTGCTAGAATCAACTCGTTGGTCGCAGGCTCACACTGCACATGGATCTGTCAAATCGGAGTGGTTGCAAGCACAAAGGGTTGTTCGGGGTACAACATAGAATTGTCGTTGGTTGGTCATTTGCTTTCAAACCAGTGATCGTGCATACCCAGCCAACAAACAAACAAAAGAATCTGTTCAAACAGCAATCAGCAGTCGCTCAGTCCTGGGGCCAAGGGCCGACCGAAAAGGCTGAACAGCTTGAAATGAAAAAACTTAGCAGCTCGGCCAGAAAGGGGAAGGTTACAGTTAAGCCCTTTGTGGCTTAGCGTGGTGGGCTGGCAAGGCCGTGGAACGACGGCGCTGAAAAACACCACACAACGCCCCGGTTCCGTCCCGGTCGACCAAGCAGCTGCCGGTCGTTTGCAACGGTTCAATAACCTGAGAAGGGAAACACAATGGATACATATCAATGAACTTATATGCAATTTAATGGTGAGTTGATATGATGGCCTAAAACATGCCTAAACAACGGAGCCTTTCGGAACCAACGGAGTGGACCCAAATCAGTATTAGTCCAGGACTACTTGATGCACTCGGCCCGACGGACTCCCGAGCATGGCTTAAGTTTCCCTAAAAATCTAGAAACCAAATCAATATGAGCTATCCTGCGTCCATACTAGTAGCTCAAGTAGGGTACTATAGCATACTATAGCTATCTAGCTACCCCGACATACCCCGCTAAATTATGTATATATATATATACTGGGTGCAAATCACATGCGCGTTAAGGCGTCAAGTGACATAAGGAATAGAGTACGTAAGTCCTATATCATGTCAAAAACGTGTTGGCACCTTCTTCTCGTTGGGTGACTATGTGTAGAGCAGGATGAGACACGACTTGTGACACACATGCAGCCCACGGACACCTCCCGGCAGCAAAAAAAACGATCTGGTATAGCTCTGCAATCTGGGGGGTTAGAGGCCGGCTTCCACAGCAATCCCATGTATGTCTTCTAAATCCTATGTCATCCGAAGATTAAAGTATATATGTTCCCATTTTTCAACTCGATACTCCAATACTTCAAGTGGACCAACCCTCAAACCTTCCAACAGTTGGAGCTCTCTGCCGTCAAGACACTTGTGGAGGTAAGGGCTGAGAAGGGTATCCCAACTCTCTTGAAGGCAAAACGGCAACAAATGCAGCGTCAAAAGGTGGCACAGAAATATGATGATTTGATATGATGACCCGGGTCCACGGCTCTAAATAAGCAACGACATGCTTTCTTTCTTTCTCTCTCTCTCTCTCTCTCTCTCCTTTCCTTTCTTTCTGATTGGTCTGTTTGTCATGCTTTTACCTTTGGCATCAAATTGTGCATGTAGGTCTTTCATGGTCTTTCTGTGCGTCATTCTCCTCTATTCTTATTCTTCTCCACTTTCCTATTCTTCTCCAAGCCTGCATCATCACTTGGTATCCGGAGATGCTAGGAATTCCAGTCGCAGGTGGCTGCGCCTTTATATAGTCGAATTCGAATGATCTACAAACGATCAGTCGCGTGCGGCGGCCCCGGCGGCTGAGGAGGACAAGTTGAGTCTAAAAGCTGACTGTTCCTCTTCCACCTCACCTCAGAGACCCAGTACGTCCAGCCGACGGCGAGAGTCTTGTCTCGGGTGTGGGGGAGAGTGACTTGTGTCTCGGGTGGAGGGATCCGTCCATTTCTCTGGGGTCATGTCGGATCATTCCTTCATGCAAAACCCGTCGCACCAGTCCGTTTTCGCTGTTCCACTACGGGCCTGATCCAGTCAAGATCAGTCAAGAAGCTACAAGGATGAATCCACCAAGGGTGGTTTTGCATCCGGTTTTCCTCGCAAAACCTGACCTGCGGAGGTCATCAAAGGTCGTCCGTAAGTGGAGCTCTTGGGACAGAGCTCTCGGCATCCTTCTTCTTCTTGATGTTCACTCATATCTACCTCGTTCTCACTGATTCTCACTGGGCAGTGTGAATGAATGCAGCATACATGGCCGCGCGCAAGGTCGTACCCGGTTTTGTCCAGCCTGGGTAATCTGAGGATTGATTCATGATCTTCCAGTCTCTATGTATCTGTATCTCTTGGAAGCTCCGCGGTCCGCAAGCCTTGAATTATCTATCCCAAACCATCCATGTATGGTAGACTTTATGCATACATTGACCCCTGAAGCCACCCCAATATAGGAAAATAAGCCATATGTGGCGTGTCTGGGCATGTTTGAAAGGACCAGTTATACCATATACCCAAAAATTCAGGGCCATGTTCGCCGCGGTGAGATGGAGGATTCTCCAACTTGCCGCCAGGAAGGAAGGACCTTCCTGATACGGCGGTCTATTCAACCGTTGATCAAGGGGTGAGAGGGTGAACCTAATAACAATGAGCCTGAAAACGCCACTACAGCCCTGGGATGCAAATCCAAGCACTCCTTATTTGGATGACCTCTTTGCTTCGGGCCGGCACGGTGCCACGATACTTGAAACAAAGTGATATACCAAAAAAACACTGATAGGGCAAACATGTGCGATGCAAAAAGCGCTCTTGTTCTCCAAATTGGGTTAGCACTTTTGCTCTATATAGTGCAGTCATCTGATTGTTTTGCATGATCAATGTGTTTTTGCCCTCCAATTTTGGATATAGCCTGATCAGGATAGCAATCAGCGCAATCAGATTATATAAACAATTGTTCGTTCTGTTTGTGCAGCACCCGCACGAGGCCGAAAATTCTGCCAACGCAGCGGACGCAGCGAACTCAGAGGCGAGGGGGCGTGTAAGTGGAGGCGCTGGAGAGCAGCCTGAGACATGGCCCCGACGTGGTTGTCAAGAACTGTAGGACCGCCCCGAAAAATATGGCTATTTCACGGAGAGACCTTGGGAGGTCTACCCATCGGAATGAACAGAACAGACTACCTGGGAGGTCAGCCCTCCATTTTGAACCCCCCACCATATCACAATCTGGGTCATGTTTCCTGGTGCCAGGGGAGTTGCTGGGGTCCCTTGGGTCTCGTGCAGGCAAATAGGATGCAAATGATTGGTTGAGCTCCAAAGCCTGCATGAAGCCCTGATGAAATGAACACGTTTGGGTGCTCCAAAGGGGGGTCGGATGTGGTCAGAGTGCCCATGATTCACCTTGTCTTGTTGATATTTCAAAACAAGGGTCACTCACCTTGGCCTCTCAAGACAAATTCACTATGTTCATCTATCTTCAGAGTTTATATGGCACAATCCCCTTTCATGGCAGTTGATGGAACCCCATACTGTGCCATGGACGGGGTCTGTGCCATGAGCGAGTCTAGTCCCAAGAGCTGGACTGATAAGGTTTGGCTCGTGGCTCGTGGCTTGGGGTGGTGGGACGAACAGAAGTGGTATAACAATAGAATTCTATAACAATATAGTAAGACTCTTGATGGAAAAAACAGAGCCAAACAACATACGAACAGGCTTTGCAATCCAAGTGGGGGGGGTTCTCAATCAAGAGTCCAAGTGGGGTGGTAGTTCTTAATCAAGAGTCTACATTACATGCCACAGAAACATAAGAATTATATACAAGTCGGTGTCGGACAGATCCAAGCGACCGGAAGACCGGAGCACCAGATTTCCACCTTCGACTCACACGTCGGAACCCCCATTCGTGCCCGTCAAACCCTAGGCCCTCGCCGTTCTTGGAGCGAGCGTGGTTCGAGGTCAGTGAGAATCTGGGAGGCCGATGCTCACATACCAGGACCCGACTCTACAGGTCACCAATTGAGACCTGTTAGGGTCCAACAACCCTCAACTAACAGCCTGTGGGAGGGTGCTGGTATTTATACTATTATCATCCACATAAATGTGGTTGTATACTGTATGATTCTAGTCCAGCAAACACACAAACAAAAGAACGTCTGCAAAGTCATAGAGACAGATCCACCTTGTCAGAAATACTGGCTTTAGATCTGTCCGTGTTTTTTTGCACTCGTACCATGTTGTGCCCATTTCAAAATTCCTGGCAAACATTGGCAAACCCAGGTGCCACCACATCAACACCTTCAGTCTCCCTCGTTTCCTTTGGTGGTGTCATGGACAGTTTTGGTGCCAGAAACCCCTGTAAGGCCTTAAGTCCCAAGCGCTGGTGCACACGTAGCCCTGATAAGCCCTTGAAATCTACATACCTATTTTTCGCAAAAAGCAAGTATCCCCACCGCAAGTATCCCAACCTCCCGAGTCTCACGAGGGTATGTTATCGGGTAGGACGACCATGGTCCTAAATGGATGCAACTGAACATCTCTGAGACTCGATTTGTACCAAGAAGCCCATCAAAGGAGCTCGCCAATCCAACCTTGCCCAAGCCGGATGACTCTTTTCTGGTTCTGGGTCAAAACTGAAGCGTGGTGAACAATCCAACATTCAACAGAGCAAGTGAAACCCTAAAGACGTTCAGCCACATCATCTACTATTATACTGTCAGTTGAAGTGCTTGGCAAACATTATTGCTGGGTCTGGTGTGCTTGCCAGAACTGCAGGCAGGTTTTTGTTCGGAGAGTCAGTGGAGAAGGTCTGGCCGTGTGCTGCTCACCCCGCTTTCTCGATGCAGCGACCCAGCCGGAAGTGGATGGCATGGCCCCGTGGAAGGCGATCTTGCTTTACGATTTCCAGCGCGTTTTCCACCATGAGCCAAAACCCAGCACACCGTGAAACCGAATCAAACCTGTGGTGTTTCTCTAGACTATCCCAGCTGGTGCCAGTGTCTTTCCATGCCTTTCCTTGAAGCATGACCACATCCCTCCCTCCTCCCTCCCCCTTTTTGGCCCCCGCTTTTGGTCCAGCAGCAGTTCCCGCAGGCTCGGAGTGCCGCAGTTGGCCCATCTCCTTCTCGGCGATCTCCGCCATCTGCGAACGCTGGTTGCCTGGGCGAGCCGCCGGCGGAGCCGCTCGCACGTCCCAAGTCGCTCGCGCGCCCGGTCCGCAGGTCGCTCAGGGCAGGTAGCCTTGGTGGGGCCCGGGAGACCTTTATGGAGCGGAGGAGAGAGCGAAGCTGGAGGCCCATGGGGAGCCACATGGAACCGGTGGAACCTTCTCCCTATTTTTTAACGAATCTGGCGACGGGTGCAATTCCGAGTGCCCTGGCTTCAAAAAGAAGCAGGCGAAAGGAAGGACAAACTGGTAAATCGGGTGGTTTGAGGGTCAAACATGTTTTGAGCCTGACTGCTCGCTACAGGATTGGGGCTGGATGTCTTGTAAAACCATGTAAAACCATTGCTTCAAACCAAATGAGGCTTGTGATTATGAGATTTTGTGGGTCAGCAAAATCAAAATAAACAATTGGGACTCATGAGGCGAGTGCGGGGACTCATGAGCAAGCACAACAATGCAAATCTAGCGATGGCCTCCAACCTAATAGCAAAAGGAACCCAATAGGAATGGCCTCCAACCTAATAGCGATGGCCTCCAACCTAGAAGCGATGGCCTCCAACCTAATAGCAAAAGGAAAGTGCTTCAGATGGAAACACTTGTTCCACCATCTTTGGAGCTTTTCCAGAAGAGAATACATCGCACATGTCCACATGCTGTCAGGCTACGCCGCAGAATCATTGTGCGCACCTGCGATGGCAGCTTGTCTTTTGAGATCTTTTGAGTTTCCCTCCATACCAACGCACATGCGATGCCAAGCATTTGTCACTGCCATGAAGCACCCGATTCCCTCGAAAAGAGTTGCGAGTTGCGAGTATAAACATATTCACACAAACTGACGTGCCTTCAAATATAGCTCCATCCTCACTTGATCGTGTCATGCGAAGACAAAAGAAGCTGACGACTCAGCTGCCTCTTGCGAGTGGGTGGCGCTGTAGCAACAGAAGGAGCAACAGCATACCCAGAAGAGCATGAAAATCACCTGGGCCGTGAGAATGCGAAGAACTAGGCCGTGTTCCACTCCAAAGGGAACCAACCACCGAGCCTGGGTGACTGGGTGACTGGTCTGTGCTCTGATTGGCTGAATGGGATCCATGGTCGCCCCAACCAACAGTGAGTCGTAAATGCCACCAACACGGCACGGACAATCATTGCAGAAAAATTCGAAATGCCGGCCTTCGCGGACGAATCGGACGGCCAGCGCCCTGTTTCTTTACGATCCTCGCACGGCAAAGCAGCGGGGAACGACCACTGAAGCGAAAAGCCTTGAAATAAATCATGTGGATGGCAGATGATGGCATGGGCCCTTGGATGACCATTCTATTCTACCAACAGGTGATAGCAGGTGGTCTTCCACTTCCATGAATAGTTCACGGAGTGTAAGGATCTGAATCTCGGAGAGGCTTCCAATCCTACTCTTCAGCTTGCCAGCAGACCCTCCCGGCGGACTCCAGCCGAATGCCAGCAAGATGCAGTCTGAAAGGGAGCGGCTTCGAGGCGTTTTCGAAGCTTTGGCATTGCTTTTTCTTTTCCACCTCGGGGCCATGTTTTTTTTGCCAAACGTGGCTCATATGGTTCACTGGCACTCAAAATCATCCCCAGAAAGCCGCGACAAAAACGTCCCAGCGACGACGACCGGTTCACTTCACGGACTCCAAAGAGATTGAAACAAGATGGAACCCACGAACCCGAATGCAAACACGTTCTAAAAGCTACATATGTCCAAATGACACTCTTGTAGGACACTCTTGTGGGACACTCTTGTGGGACACTCTTGTGGGACACTCTTGTGGGACACTCTTGCAGGACACTCTTGTGGGACACTCTTGTGGGACACTCTTGTGGGACAATCTTGTGGGACACTCTTGTGGGACACTCTTGTGGGACACTCTTGTGG